GCTTCCCCCCTCGGCCAAAACCTCGCCGGCGCGACCCTGCAGACCCCCGGGCGCCACTGTCCTCGGGGAAGCCAAGCAGCTCTCCGGGCAGCTCCGCTCCGCTCCGGGGGTGCCTGGGCATGGAGTCGGCCAGGCTCGGCTCCCCCGAAGGGCGGCAGCTGCTCGCTAGGGACCCCCTCCAGAAACATCTCCCGGCAAGTGCCCCGCGGTCCAATACCAAAATCCTTAAAAACTATATTATTTCCTCCACCTGCCCACAGCCTGAGCTCTCGGCGAAGTTGCTGAAGCCGCAGCAAGCCTCGTTGTCGGCCGATACGCGAGCGCTAATTCCGGCTGCTCGCGACCCGGAGAGCAAGAGTTAAACCGGTCTCTTGTCGTGTGTCGAAGCGAGTGACCGGCTTAGCGTTAAAATTGTGCTTGGCTCTCGACGAGCAGCCCTAACATAATCTTGGAGCTAATCTTTAATCTAGTCGAAACACACACACGAAAAAAGAAACGGTCCTGGGAAGCTTGTTTAAGAAGCTGAAATCGGTTTGTCTGTTTCTGGCGGTCGCCTTCGGTTCATGCGAAATGTGATTTCTGCCCATAGCCTTGAAAAACCTTCGCGAGTCTTGGGTTATTCTATTAGATTGCAATCATTAATAACAGCCAGTGATCTTCTCATCCTCTTCATCACATGCTACCCCTCCTTTTCCCCTGTATTGAAAAACTAAGTACCGAGTGAGGCTGATCTGCAAAGATTGCTTAGGGATGATTACTGAGGATTACATCTGTTTTTGCCGTGCTAGAGGAGACGGGTTCCTCTCCAGTGGGGCAGTAGAAAGAATGAGATCAACAAACCTGCAATTAAAGCAGATCAGGGCCCGTTAATTGCCCTTCTGAACAGCCAAAGAATTCCTTAAACACAAAAAAGGAAGGGGGAGCAAATAAATAGTTTGACAGTACTAAAGAGAAGACAAGTCTCTGCTCTTTGTTTTAAGCGTGTAATACCTTAGAGAGTAATTAAACAATGTCCTTAGTGATAATACTGCCCATTTACGGGGGAAATACAGAGAGAATGGGACACGGCACTGCTGCATGAGGGGCAAATCTGGGAAGAGAAAAGAAACAAAATGTAAAAGCTGATGAATGGGGGAAGCAGGGAGGTGGGGGGTAAGATTGCTGTGGATGCTTGCCTGGTCGCCTCGCAATACACTGAATTGAACTTTATGAGCCGTACTATATTTATTGCTGTCATCTTTCTCTAAAACAAATTAAAAAGGCAGACACTTAAAAAGAGATGGGGGGAGGGAAAACCCCTGCTCAGTAGAATGAAAATCTTCAAAAATATATTTACAACAGTGCAGAAATTGTTTCTGTGTTGTGCGTTTTTGTAGCCCAAATCACTGGAACACACAGATGTCTCCCAAGGGTCCAGTAAAATAAAGCAATAAATGCTTAGTGTTTGGTCCTGTCAGCTTCCCTATAGGAAATCAGTGCTATTTCTCCAGGGTACAAACAAGGGTTCTCTCCTCCTTTAATAAAATTTGACATGCTGTGTTTTACCTACCTATCAGCCACTGTCTCCCATTTCTGGGGGCGGGGGGAATTCGTTAGTGTTACATAACAGTTACCTTGAACATTACACATGTTTCCAAATCAGGTGGCTGTCCAGCTGATATACCCAGGCTATAGACAGAAGATGGATTTCTACAATATTGCAGATAAAATGCAAATGAAATGACTTTGGAAAAAACTTTTACAAGGCACTGCTCTTTGGATGTTCAAATGTTCCCCTTGTGGGTGTTTTTTGTTTGTTTCAGTAATACCCTTCCCATTCAAAAAAAAAAAAGAAAAAAAGACAAAAAAGGTGTTTAACCCCCTCTCCCTTAGCAAAAGTTTAATAACATGGAGGATAGCTATAGATCAAGCATACTGATTTCCTGCTTTTATTTTCCTTTTCTCCCCAAATCCAGCTCCTGTGATATAACTAACACCACAGCATAATCCAAGGCCCCAATAGGGAAGAGGACTCAAATGTAGGGAATTGGTCAGCATCTTGTCTCCCTGGTGCCTTGCAAGCTCCTTTTGAGAGCTGGGGCTTCACTTTCTGTTTGGGTGCATCAACTGCTACCACTCCCTTTATTCTTTACTGGAACCCAAAGAATTTGGTTAGTGATGGGACTGAAGCTGCTGATTTTTTTGTCTTCTCCATCTGTCACTCTCTCACACACACGAGTTGTAGGTGTGAGGGAGGTCAGCCTGTTGGTGTCACCACCCCCCTAACACACATACATGCACACACACACACACACACACACATATCACATGCTTGCTGAGAATTTTAGCTACCAGGAGTTTGAAGGAGCAACAGGAAACAGGCACCTCTTGCACTGCCCGTGGTTCTCACCTTCTTTTTTCCTTCTCATTGCAGAAGCTGGAGCGGTGCCCTGGGTAACCAGCCATGATTGCCACTGGAGGCCTCCTGAGGATCTCAGCTAGGAAACAGGATCCCTTACGGCCCCAAAGCCAGGTCCCCAAACGCAAACGCAAAGCCAAAAAGAAGCGCAAGAACGACGTGGTGGTTGTGAAGGGCAAGCTCAAGCTGTGCTCCCTTTCGGGGCTCATTGCCCTCTGTGGGATCCTGGTGCTGTTGGTGGGCATCGCCTTGGCGGTGGTGGGCTACTGGCCGAAACCCAGCCAGGTGTACAGAGAAGGCAGTCTCAGTGGGAACAGACACGTGGTGCCGCAAGGGGGCACCCCCAGGGACCGCTCCCGGAGCCAGGCAGCTTCCCATCCAGAAACACCCCCTGGAGCCAACTCCTCCACTACTGGCAACATGCGGGGATCCCCACTGTCCCCCGCAACGTCCTCATCTCCCCAAGCCTCCGTGGGTTTCCTCTTCCGTCTCTTCTCGGGCTACTTGCATTCAGACAAGCTGAAGGTGCTGGGGCCCCTCATCATGGGCATCGGTATCTTCCTCTTCATCTGTGCCAATGCGGTGCTGCATGAGAACCGTGACAAGAAGACCAAGATCATCAACCTGCGTGACCTCTATTCCACAGTCATCGATGCCCACAGTCTGCGGGCCAAGGATGGGGGCGCCCCGGCCGCAGCCCCTCTCAACGGCTTTGTCAACTACGTGCAGGCCCGGGGCCTGGAGCTCAAGCCCGGCAGTGAGGGCCTGGGCGCTGCGGCCATGCTTGCCAAGAGCTCCTGGCCTCCAGGGCTCAGTGTGTCCCTCTCCCCACCTGAGCGGGCGTCCTCGCCGCGGCGTTCCTCCTTCTCCAGCCCACCACAGGCGCCCAGCCTGGCGGAGGCCGTGTACAGCATTTACCGCGAGCGGGCAGCCCTTGCTGGCCGCCCCCTGGCCAGTCCACCCTGCAGCCCCCCGGAGAGCTGGGGCAGGCACAGCACGGCCAGCTCCATTGTGGGCTCCTCGCTCAGCCCCTTCACACTCCTGCCACTGCAGTGGGGGGCTGGCAGAGGCCCCCTGGTGAGCGGGGAGCCCGCGAGATCCCACGGGGGGAATTTGAGCTGAGCCTCACTGACCTCAGCAGCAGCTATGCGGACGGACGTGGTGGGACGGGGAGGCGCAAGCTGGTCCTAAGGCGGCAGAGCACCAGCTGCCTGCCTGATGCCAGGCGTCCTCTTTCTCCCGAGCCTCCTCAGTCCCCATCCATCAGTGGGGGCCCAAACTCTAGCCTTTTGGTAAAGGCATCTTCTAGCTACTCCAAACCTCTGGATCTGGAGGGATCTCCTCCCTCCCCCGCCACCGCTATCACCAGGATGGGTTCCCAGAGCTCCCAGTCTGAGCCTTCCAGCAGCAGCAATAAGGGCTACAGCCACCTGGAGGAGGCAGGCACCTCCTTGGAGTCAGTTGCCAACACCCCAGCCAGTAAAATCCAGGACTGTGAGGAGGAGCCAGTCAAGCAGACTGCCGGCCTCGAGGCTACCAGCAAAGAACAAACGGGGGAGAAACCTCAGCAGACTCAAAGACAGTACACAAATAAAGAGAAACTCTTTATGATTTCTAGGTCGCACACTGCGTTAGAGCTGGAAGACGGGGAGCTGGAGAGCACTGGCATCTAAACCAAGCAGAGAAGGCTCGAGGACACCTTGCAACCCTCCACACCTTCCCCCTCTATCTTCTTGTGGACTAAAGAAACCAACCGATATCCAAAGAGCTGCAGTATGTTGTCCTTAAAAGTTGAATTCAATAAATCCATCCTGTAGATGGCTTCAGGAAGAAAAAAACAAAATCCTTGCAGTCCGATCGTGATTGTATGTTCCATGCAAGCCAAATTGTATTAAATATCCACAGTCGAGTACATTCTTTGGAAGAGTTTAATACAATTTTGGACAGTATAATTGTGCACTTTACTGTTTGATTTCCAAGTGCCCCTTCTTCTCCTCTAATTTCTTTCTTGTTGATATACCACTAACTGCTTGAAAACCACAGGCACTTTTTTATGCTCCAAGGCAACGTGGTCTACAGTTCAAGAAAGCTGAGCTCTCTCTTTGTTTTGGTTCAATTACTCTAAAAAGTTTGCAAGGCCTTAAGGATGACGTACCTTGACAAAGAATGAGTTTGTTTAAATTCTGGAAAATTGAGAACTTAGAAGAGACTGGAGCTGAACAGAGCTCTGAGAATTTAGGTAAAACCATAACATTCCTGAATCCAAAATACCTACTACCAGACGATACTTTATTAAGTATTATTGCATATGTATTGACTAAAAGCATTAACAGATTTTTTTTTTTTAATAAATACAAACAAAACTGCTACCCCAAAATAGTCCTTTATTTTGGTAAGTAATTTCAGATCAGAAACTTTTGGGTTTATGCTGTGAAAGATTAAAGGGATGCTACAAAGTCAATGATTTTCTTTTCAGTGGGTAATCATTTAGGAGCAATTTCAAAACAGAGAAGCTGTGCTTAAATTTTATCAGCAGATTGTGTCTCCATTTCTAACAGTACTTTGTGACAGTTGAAAAATCTGAGATTTTGACATTCTAAGAAAAAAGGTTTATGAAGGTAACACCTTCTATTAAAATAGAGTTTTCATAAGAAACATTAATCTCAAACAGTAACATATTCTTTCTGGATCTCTCACCTCCTTTAGAACAGTTGCTTTAAGCCTTTCTGCAGCTAAGCCTGCTATTTTGTGAGTGCATATGCATAAGTTTAATTTTAAAGCACAGTGATGGTCCTGTCAATCTCTTAGGAGCTGCCCCACTGAAGTCAGTGGGAGCGTTTGCATGACTTCAGTGTGATGAGGATTTCTCCTGCGTGTGAGAAGCAGCAAGCTGCCTGAAGGCTGGGGAATGTATATTCGCCAGTCAGATTTTTGCTAAATTGATGGATTGCTTCATTTTCGTGCTTGCAACACAACACACTTTCTTGTCCAAGAAGGGTAGCTTTAAATGCTCTGAAAATGTTGTCGATACTTCACATTTTAAGTATGGAGGCGGCATTCCACTACTGCACCGTGAGAATTTGACATTAAACATATATAATATGCACATACTCCATAGGCTTTCTTTTGCAGTTAAACTTTTCATTATGGCTTTATGTTTTAAAACATGTAAATGAAAAACAATGTCAGAATTCTAAAACTACGAAAGCAGAAAGTGCTTGTCCTGTTGAGCAGTGGAGAGATCCAGATGGCAACATCTTTTCTCCTGTCAGTAGCAACTAGTGAAATGACGATATGAACATCATTACAGCATTGTTCCTATCAAGCTGCTAGCACACAGCTGGCAGAAAATATGCTTTAAAACTGCCTGGGCTGGAAGAGGATTGATTAGGCCTCAGCTAATGTGGCTGGCCTGGTACTGTGAAAAGGCAGTTCAGCTGGAACTGACATTTGCACAGTTCTTTCCTTCCAGTTCCAAGTCTGCAGTGATTCTAAACTTCTGTTCTGTGCCTTTCCTATGATTTACAGCAAGATTGATGAGAGGTGCCTGAATGGCATTACCTGATGCTGACAGAAATGTTAGTTATTGAAGGCTCCCTAATTGTTATTCCATATGAAAATTACTCACAGAGGTGCAGTGAAAGAGGCCAGCCATGGAGAAGGGAGGAAGGAGTAGTTACAGGATAGCAGACTCATCATGCAGTATGGCCACTTTTTATTTTATTCTGAGAGAAACTTTTTTTTTTCATATTTGCAGTCACTAACTTTTTGCTTAGTCACCTAAATCTACAGTTTGTGCTGAAAAAAATCTTCTGCGTATTCTTTAGACTGAATTAAGAGAAAGCAGTCTAGTAACTTTCAGACATTTAGTTTTCTGCAAAGCTTTCTCTCCATCTGAATTAAAATGAATATTATCTTTAATAGATAAAATTATATACTTTTTTGACAAAACAGGAAAAGGCCGAAACATGAACAGTCATCAATCAAGCTAGATTTTATAACACAAACTAGAGATCATTTGTACTGTACAACTTACTAAGCACAGAAAATCTTCTCTCTCTTTGCCAAAACTCACTGCTTTTTCAAATTCATTTATTAAATTGTTGATGACTTTTGTGATAAATTTAAGGTCTGAAAATTTTATTCAAGAATTAAAGATGAGCATGTTATTTTAGCACGCTAAAATCCAGTCCTGGAGCATCAGGGGTCTCCTGTGCACAGTTGTGGTACCCCTGGGGAGGAGTGCAGTGACCGGTGAGGAGCTGAAGCTCTCCTGGTGGTTTCCGTCAGGAATTTAAAGCGCACTGAGCTCTCCTTGATTCTCTCCTGGTTGGCCTTGGCTGCCTAGGCCAGCGAGGCCGCCTCTTGGCCGTGGTGTGCCCATTCTGCTCTGTTTACACATTTTCTCCTGATCTAACATCTGCCTTTCAACCTTCCTCCCCAGTTCCTGCAGCCAAATTCCTGCCTAGTCCTTGTGGAGAGGTGAGAAGCTGCCTCCATCTAACAGCGTGTGCCTGCCTCAGTGCTGCAGAAAGGGGTGTACCGGCACACCAGCACTCAGGGAGATGGACTCACTGGCCACCCTGTTGAAGAAATGATACCCCGAAGATATGTGAAGCTAGTATCTAGGCATGAATTCTTGATCAGAACTCTTATTCCAGAAAGGCCTTTGGCTATTTTTGTTTCGAGCAAAGAAGTGCTATGTTATATATATAACATTTCAAAAGAAAAGTAGATTTTAACCTGAAGTCTCAGTCAGCCTTTATGGCGAGGTACAGGCCTCCAATCGTTTGTTATGACTATCAATGCTTCTTGGAGTTGTCTGAGCACTCAGACTAATGCCCTAATTGTACTTCAGCTGTGCTGCTGTTGGTCACCAAACCCTCAGGACCCCAGAGGAGATGCTCACATTGATCACACTCTAACCCAGTTCTGGCTCAGTTTAGTGGTTAGCAAAGATGTAGTATTTAAAATCCTTAAGTTAACCTGGCTCACTTGACTGAACTGATTTATTGAACTCTCACAGAAGCAACTCAGACGACAAGACTTCAGCTGATGGCAAAAAAGGGGACAGCAGCAAAGGAGAGGATGGAGAGTAAGAGGGGAAAACAACTCCATGTAAAGTCTGTGTCCTTGTAAACTGCACATGAAAAGAAAATTGCAGGTCTTGGAGAGGGCTCTAACCTTGATGCTCAGCTGATGACTTATCAGCAGTTCTATTACAGAAGGCAAAAGCCCAACTTTATTACACCATGTTATTTTGATACATTTTAAACAACCTTTTCCAAGAAATTACATTGTCTAATAGTGAAGAATAGCTCATTTACAAACACCTAATTAGATAACTGTTAACATACTTGTAGGTCTGCAGTCTGCTTTAGAATACGCATTTTCGTAATAGCCAGAGTGGTTTCAAGATTTACGCAACAGACACAATAAGACTTCAATTTAACAAGAATTGTTATTAAAAATAATGAAGATGGCACAATGATACCAGTTATTAGATTTCAGCATGAGGAATAGCTTTTCAGAAAATTGAACAGTTTTTCCTTTTAACCAAGAATATATTCATGTGGATACAATAAAACAAAACTGTACTTCTACTGATAAATAAAAGGAAAATTCTCATATCCTAAATAGATTACCAATTAATGCTTTCCTCAATAATAGGTTTCAGTCCTTCATATTTATCTCTCCACAAGAAAGAAAGAGATAAAGAAAACATAACATCCAATTTCTGGGCATAACCAAAATAGAAATCAGACTTTGCTATATGAACAACACACGAAACGCAAGTTCCTGGTGGGTAGCTGACAACTAAAATCTTAAAATACATAGATAGCCTTTTTCTTTTCTAAAGCAAACACATCAAACTTCCCTCATAAAAAGCCAATTTCCTTTCTTACTCTTCAAGACTGTAAAGGGCGATAATGGCATGCTTTGTCTAGTCTGTTTAATTATTATTTTTCTCTGCCAAGGATGAGTCAAAGATTCATTTTGGGCCCACAACCAGTGAACAAGATGCACAGCATGTGCAGGCACAATCTGAGAGGATACATAGGGTCTCACCACCTCAGGAGAAAAATTGGCAGTAGAAGAGCATGCTATTATCTATTTTTCCTGAGAAGGCAAAGCTTGCTATTTACCAGTTTTAAAATCTTCAAAACAGAAATATCAAAGTGCATTAGAAAATATGTTCTGCCATTTAGCTTTCACTGTAAGAGCAGGGATGAAGGTTAACCCTGGAGGGCCAGGACAGGCAGAAATGGTCAGGTGGAGTAGGGCCAAAGCTTAGACAGCAGAACAAGGTTACTAGGAAGGATCGGACTGGATAATCATAGGATAATTTAGGAGCTAGAGGAAAATGGTTTCGCTTGATCCATTGGATCATCTTCTATTCTAGCTCTATTTTAATTATTAAAAAATAGTGGTGTGAAGGAGCCACAGGACACTTTTTTAAGTATTTATTCTTTTAAAATTATTTTTCGACAAGACAGAAAGCCTATTTGATGAAATAGCTAAGAAAAGCAGACATCAAAAGAGATGCAAACTAGTGTTAACTCGGTACCTTCATTTGAGTGGGCTGATCCTCAGCATTACAGTGAGGATTGGGCATCTCTTTCCATACTATTTGAATTATGTTAACTACTATGGCATCTTATGTACCTCTCAAGTCAATGAAGTCTACATATCATTGCACCTACTTGGATTCAAAGTCAATATTTGCCTACAGTTCATCATGTTTTAGGTACCAGGGAAAAAAATTCAAAACATACGTCAACTT